TCTGAGAGGAGGAGGAGGACCGGGAGAGGCATCGGGCACCGGTGGAGCAACCTTGCGGTAAATATTATTTTTTACTTATGTAAAAAATCGATATCTTTGTTCAATTTATTCTTAAATAGTTTTACTTTACAATAAAAATACTATTTAATTAAAAAAAGGATTGCTTTAAAATTTGAAATCTTATAAAAATGTTTCTAAGAGGTCTTTTCATAAAATTTATAATTGTGTTTTAATTTGGATTATGTATTTTTTTGTTACAGAATCATCGTAGCAGATGTAACTCCGCTGTTGCGCATCGGATCGGTGAGTGATAAATCAATTAATGTTCTTATTGAGGTAATGGATGTATGGTAATTTTATTAATATATTATGTATACCTAGATACATAGTAATATACAAATTTAATGGTTGAGAACATTCCGTACATCCATTGCCTTAAAATGGATAAGTTTTAAGAGATTAGGATAAACTTAATCTTGGATCCCTCTTTATTGCTGAATATAATTGTGCCTATAAATTTATATGCATACGTTCGAATGCATATATACTTCGAATGTATGAAAGCGAAAGTTTTCAAGAAATTGAGAATATCATGAGGATATAATATAGAATGAGATTATTTATTCACTGGTTATATTGATTATTTAATGTTTTTTTTATTAATATTAAAACCGAGTACGTAAAAATTGATTGAATTTTTATGTTTATTAGCTGAAAATATAAAATTTTTTAATTTTTTAAAAATATGAACATGTAACGGAACGTGCAGTTAAGAGATTAAGTAAAACCATAGAAGATTAAAGTATATTGATTTATATCATATACAGTTGTTATTTAAATTGACTCATGGTATTCTTACATGATTAAATAGAAAAAATTAAAGAAAATCTTAGAATAGAAAGAAAATATAATAATAGAAGGTAGTACCTATATAATAAAAAATGCACATCGATAAAATATATGTAGTTAAAAACGAGGGAGGTGGATGCACATTGAATTAATAAGATTAAGAAATAGAGGGATTAAAATATTTATATGGGGTAAAGTATACAATGATTGACCATTTGCTATGAATTTGTCCATATATTAAAATCCAAGTCAAATTAATAGCAAATATTTCGCAGCAAACTACTGTTGGAAAAAATGAAAAACATGGTTTTATTCAAAGTTTTTTGTATTTGAACATATTCTTCCTTAAGAACCTTTCTTAACGTTTGCTTTGCATCAAATTCAAATTTCAAATGTTATTATTTCAATAATGATTACAGTGATGATATTAAATTTCAGTACTTAAGTGATCAATCACTGTATACTTTACCCTACTTTATTGTATATATTTTAAATGACAAGTGCAATAATATAGTAAAATACAAAAAGAAAATATAAAAAAGTAATCAAAGTTGTTATCTATATTAATAAAAATTGTGTATATATTATCTCATATCATGAAAATTGAAATGAAGTGTTACAAATGTTTTATTATCTT